TTACTTTGTAAAATTAGGATTCCTGCCCCATCCCCAGGGGCTAGGGCGGGGCCCCAAAGGGAACATTTACCAATATTTTCAAATTCTTATCCATTGATGACATGACAAGTATTGTATTTCACTTAGTTTACATGCTGATTTCCACATCACATCTAAACAATAAAATAAAGCTACCAGTACCTATGATATAACTCAGGTGACCGCTAAGGCCCTTGGGCCTCTTGTTATTGTACCAGTTATGTCATTGATTGTGGTTCTAATTCTCGTCACTTTGATATTTTATTTCTTTGATGATTTTTGTGTTTTGTACCCAGTAAAGACTGGTACTGTTTTGTTTAGTGATGAATATGAAAAATCAATAAATTATTCTTTAGTTCAGGGTTCTGTAGAGGTAGACTTTATGGAAAAAATCAGGTGTTCAAAGTTAATACTTAAATTAACCCATATATCAGGTGATAGTTTGGTATTACAGATGTGTAACAATGTAGTCCACACATTGTCACATTGGTTTAAGTCACATTCCACTTCAGTCGCGATGTAACTGTATAATATTTAGGCCAGGATACTTTCGTCAACCAAATAGGTCAATCAGTTAAGAAGTATTAAGTTCAGGGATAAATGCCTGTCCAGCCCGGCAGTGTCTTTTTTACACTCAGAACAAGGTTGTTAATTATATTTGATTTATTTCATCTTTTAATAAATTTTATATATGTTTTATCAAAGCTATATATAAAGTCATGCTTGTAAAGACAGTGTCCAATACTTAGTTACATTTTTTGGCAGTGGTACGGGGATCCTTAAAGTTTTCCCCTGTATATGGTCAATGTATTGTAATTCTGTTAATGTCACTAATGCTTTGGAGTGATCTCCGCTATTGTATATAACTTTGTCTGGACATTTTACCAAAACAAATGAAGGGACATGCCCTGTATTGAGGTACAAATCAGAAAGTTCTTATCCCGAGGTTTAAAATTGTGTCATATATCAAAAGTTTCGTCATATCCTGAGGGTCTAAATGTTGTCATATCCCGAAGGTCTTACTTTTGTCATATCCCGGGGGTCTAAGTTTGTCATAATCCAAAGGTCTAAATTTTGTCATATCGAGAAAGTCTTAATTTTGTCATATCCTGAGGGTCTAAATTTTGTCATATATCCCGAAAGTTTAAATTTTGTCTTATCCACAAAGGTCTAAATTTTGTCATAACCACAAAGGTCTAAATTTTGTCATATCCCAAAGGTCTTAATTTTGTCATATCCCAAAGGTCTAAATGTTGTCATATCCCGAAGGTCTAAATTTTGTCATATCCCAAAGGTCTAAATTTTGTCACACTTGTGTATGTTACATAAACAATATTATAAGGTACGAATATAACACCTGCCTCACTGTCAATAATGACCCTGCCACTTATAGTTGCCTGCTAAGGTTCATCATTGTAAGGATGTAATCCGACATATCTTTTCATTATGCAACAGTTTGAAATTAACACAAATTCTTGTGAGTTAAGCCTATTGAATTTTTTTTTCTACCAACAGGCTATCTTTTATAAAGATACCAATTTCGTTTTCATAGCAATAATTTCACATAATCTAACAGGTTTCTTTGTAATGTAATTTAAGATAGAGTAGTTTTCATTTTTAATCCTTAAACATAACAACCCACAGCAGATAACACAAGTCATGATATAGATGATGAGTGTTGATGTTGTAGTTTTTGGTTGGATATGTTTTACAGACATATTACAGAGAAATAAAGATATCCACTTTATATAGCCTGTGATTCAGAGAAAAAGAAGCGATATTAAGCAAAACATGACATGAAAAGCCTTTTTTTCCCGGACCATTTTTCAGTAGCTAAAACCTCAAAAGATTGAGCTGGAAGTCCCAGCAATAAACTCTTACCTTTAACATCTGATCTTGTGAATTACCCTGTACACAATTACAGGTAGGCTGTTTCTGCTCAAGGTTTAATTTGCTAATCCATACCACTTGCTATGACATGCTCATGCCATTCATTACAGATGACAAAGTGCAATAGTTTTTCCTCGGGCCGTCTGAATGTTTACCAGTGTCTCTTGCCTGGCAACTCGGCGACATGTAGAGAATTTGTCAAATATATTAAATTTACCTGTCGACATCGTTAGTGATGCGATATTAGTTTGGTTGATTGTGATACAGGACTCTGACAGGCACTTACGATATATTGCCAGGATCGTATTAAAAAATTATGTTATCCTTTTAATCAATTATGACTGTAAACTGGAGCACTCGGCATGTTCAGCATCCCGTAGCGCAACACAATGAAGCCATGATGGCCATAGAGTAAATAATTCACGCAGGTTTATATACAATCCCTTGGGTGAAAACATAATCTGGAAAGCATCCCATGGTCTACCTATCTCCTACTTAGGGATGTTTACCTGACTATCAAGTGCAAACTATTGTCTGATTTTATTGAATAAACCCAAACCAACTTAAAATGATTAGTGCCGTAAAACAAAATTAAAAAATCTTTTTATCAATAAAAATTCCATTTAGAACCTGGGAACTCTTCCGGTGACCAGGTTTTCATAAAAATATTGAAAAGTAAATATTCCCGGCGATTCATTTTCATGACAGTATGCATACATCGTTTTCTGTGACGAAGATTGGGTAACGGGAGGAGGCTATTGTAGCAGAGAGTCTGTAGCAGATGCCATATATAGACTGAATAAATATTTGAACCAGTTTTAACTTAATTGGGATATACATAACTGCATGATATACTGGGTTTAATGGTTAAGATATAGTCTAATAAATTTGGAATTGAATAACAATATATAAAGAAAATAATTGTTTTTGTAGTGAACAAACACCCAACTATATATTAAGATATACAGCCCTTTGTTCGTCTGGGTTGGGGTGGGGTTAGGGGTGGTTGGTGGGGGTGGGGGGTATATGGCATATACTCTGTTACTACTATTACCAAAACTTGAATGTGATTTCCTACTGAGATGCTGATGTCCAGTTTCTATTTACAGAGTTATGCCCCATTGTTTAGATTTTATATAAAAGTTGGTCCAGATGTGGGGCACAATGGCCAATACTTGTTTAATATTCATCTAATATTTTTCTAAAATTTCAATTGAAATTAAATTCAATCAGCCCATACATTTCTGAAATGTACTTTATGAAGCAAATGTTAAAACTATAAATCCAGAATAATATTTTTGAATTGGCTAACTTTTGATTATTTTTACTGAACTTTTAAAGGGAGGTAATTCATCATTATAAATTATACAATAAGTTAGGCTAAAAAGTGTTTTTATCCTGTCCAACCTTTAGGAGTTAGTGGTTCAATGAACTGTTCAGTTAAGCAGAGATAGTGATTTTGGTGATTTATGAACACTAGCAGTGTATAATTGAAATTAACAGTTAATTGAAATCAACATACTACCGCAAATAAATGCTAAGTCTGGTTTGAACAGAAACAGTAACTCAAACCATATTTTTCAAGCTTTCAGAGCACCTGTTTCCTTTGTCAAGCAAACAGTGCAGTTTTTTTAGGTCACCTGAGCTTTAGCTCAAGTGACCTATTGCTATCCGTTTTCGTCCCTCGTCGTCCGTCGTCCATCGTTAACATTATACTTAACTATTTTTTACTCAAATTGGTACATATTTCAACAACAAAAATGAATACTGTAGGACTCAGGTGACCGTTAACGCCCATGGGCCTCTTGTTTTACTTTTTGTTTACTTTTTGCTTGTGTTCAAAATCAATATACGTAGCATTTATATTCACACCAAACTGGTGAATTTCATTCTAAATACTACAGGCAGTAACCAGTCATAGGCAAGGTTATTCCTGATTTAGATCCTCTAACAGTTTTTAAGAAAAAAGTAATATCTAATTTGCTTTTTAGCTGTAGCATTTCTGAGTAGCCAATGATTGTCAATAATACACGTAGATCTTTTGTCTGTCCAGACTTACCTCACCCTCGATGTGCAGCGAGATAATATTGTTGTAAAGACTGTTTTAAATGTAATTGAAAGCAACAGTATGTTACTTTTTCTTTGAGTAGATGGTTAACATTTAAATTATAATGTAGTCAATACAATCTGTTCAATACCGGTATTGGATAACAGGTCTATTTATGTATATAAACATGATAGAGGACAGTCTAATGGGTTTGTACATCATTAGCATGTGTTGTGTAACAATGTTTGCTGACGGTTATTGACTATTTAGAAACCTGCCAATGGGTTTGTAAATTCAATAATTAAAAAAAAAAAAATCAGCTTGAGAGTAGATTCAATGATTGAAAAAATCTACTAGAGAGTAGAGACAGATTGTCCTTGATAGTGTACTAAGAGTTGTCTCCCTTCTATCAGTTGACTGAGGGTGTGACGGGGAATGTGGAGTCTGTAATATTACTCTGACATGTTTCAAACATGCATGATATCCCACCATTATACTTTCTGTCGTATTTTCTTTTTTTACTGATTCCTGAGTTGGAAATCAATTTATTATTATTATTGTGGTCAGGTTGTGAAAGTGGAATGTATTAACCAACATTCCTGCTATTTAGAACAAATCTGTTTTAGTCAAACATTAGTTCAGATATTGATTACTCTGTATAGAACGTTGATTCTGCCTGTTTGAACTTTTATAGGTTTGTTCCTCAGGTGTGTTTTGTGGGGATAAAATTACACACAGCCCTATAAAAAATGTCAACTGTCCTAACTACCTAATATTTGTCGCTATCATACGGGTATTAGACTTAACGAAACATTACTGTACAGTATTAATTGCATATATGTAAATTTAGTGGTAAAAAATGTTTTATTTGTATAACCATGCAATAAAAGGTTATTTGTGGTGGAGGAAAAGGAAAAGCATTTTGACCAAAGGAAATTAAAGATATCTAAAAACAAGCAAAAAATAAGTATGGAACACTGATAGGGTAAAAAAGAATTAGTAGGGTCAAAACGAAAAATGGTATATGCAGTGTGGAACCATGATAGGGTTACTCTGGAAGTTAAAAAAAGATACATTTCAGATTTTTTTTTTATAGAAATGTAGAAAATTTTGTGAAGAAAATTGTTTGGTATTGTAGGTATAAAGGAATGTGGTCAGGTCTGGTGTATGTTAAAGTTTTTGAAGACATACAGACTCATAAATTTCTCACCACATTCTGTAGCGGTGTACTTAGAGACTGCCTGACAGGGAAGGTGATCTGTATGAGATGCTGGGTGTGATGGGTTTATAACTACCATCCATTAGGATGACGTGGTGATTGTCATGTGGATGATTTTAAAACTATGACAAAAAAAGTTGGTGTTAGATATTTCTCAGCTGTGCAAAGAATGTTTCTCTCAACAAGGAAAGGAAAGGAGATTAGGAAAGTGGATGAAGCTGTTTCGGACGGAATCAAAACTAATAGTTGTGCTTAGCTACCGATAGATATATTTTTGTAGCACTACAAACCAATATTATATAGTTTTACTCTGGTTCTCTAGAGTCAATTAATTCGAAACTTTTCAAAGATTTATGTATAAATACATTAAATTCAACTGGTTAAAAATATTGACTGTAATTTAGCCCAAACTAAAATATTATTTGTTTGCTCTATACTAATATATCCAATCAACTTCATTTCAACACATTTTGTTGACAAGACATGAACATATATTAACAAGTCTAAAGGGTTACACATCAGGTATACTTCTATCTCAGACTATTTCTTCTCACCGAGTTAGATTACTCCTCCCGAAATTTGTTGATGATAAAATTTTAATTAGTTAATTATTTGTTGTGAATTCTGAACTTTGGTAAAACTTATACAAACCAAACTATCTTTCCTATAGATATGACTGGAACCTATTTTACCAAATAAAATTGAGGTAGAGTTGGTCAAGGGAAAACAAATTTAGGATTTTAAGCCTAGCACTCTGATAGTTCTGTGTGTGGTGGTAAACAGGTTATGATCAGTTGTCACAGATGACTATAATGATGTTATGCACATTCTGTTAAGTTGGTGAAATTTCAAGTGATCAGTGTCAGTCAGTCTGCTGTCTGTAATTTATGTTCCTGTCAATCTCCCTTTCTTACTTTAACTCATTCTCCCCTGAAAACACATTAGAACTCTTCCAGTTCAAAGGTTGGGATAGTTCATTATAAAATTTCAGGGGTGAATGAGTTAAATAGATTAATTCCACTGATGCCCTCCTCCTGCTGTAAGCCCCTCTCCATAACCTCCTCTATACCTCCCTCAACCCCTCTTCTGTACCAAAATATAAAACCAAAACAAATCCAAGAAATTTGTTACATTTTATTAAAATGGCAATTTCACATTTTATATCTACTCTGTTGTTAATTAAGGCAACAGTTCAAAGGTCATTGACACCATAAGCCAACATAGTGTATCATGTTATAAACAAATACATTGTTACCTATTAATTTCCTTATTTGGAGGAAGACTATGTCTGTTGTGATTTATCTCCCTTTGTAATCAATGCCAGGTTAATGTTAAAAATCATTTCATCGTTATATGTGAAAAAATATAGCTTGATGATAAAATGAGATTCTAATCTTCATCTAGGATGAAACCATGATTATCAAGATTAAACAAAGGGAGATAATCTTGTCTGATTTGATCAGTAAATTTTCAAGAGACATAATGTTCCAACGAAAACTTCTGTACAATTACGATTGAGGGTACTACTCTACATTAAGTTAAATCCTCTACGATATACAGCACCCTTGATATATATTAAAGCATCACAATATCATCCGGGACAACATCTGTCTTATTGTTTACAGTGGTAAACATCAACACTTGTCTGTCTGAAAATAGTAATGACACACATATCCTGAAAAATATTCCACAGCTTTCCAAATAAAAATTTACAAGAAATACTTTACCAGGTGTTAAAAGAAAAAATTAAGGCACTTCAGTTTGTTTCTCCTGTAAATCAACAAAAAAATAAGTGTTTATTATGTCCGTACTTTCAGCAGAAGTTGTTTGCTATTACAAATTAATGTACGTGAAGGCATCATAGGATTCCTTACTTCCACAAATCCACAAAATCAAAAGTGATAAGTCCATGTAAACAGCAAAACGTGTTTCCTATCATAATTACATTTCATTGTAAGTTAGAAAATTGGAATCAAACACCAATTCTAGTGCACAATGATGGTGGGCGAGGAACGTCCTGATCGTAAGGTTTGGAGTTCATGAAACGTTCCGGATTCAGATCTACTTTTTGCTCCTCTGGTATGACTATCCTCTCCGTATAAGGCACTGCGGCCTAGCTCACTCATAATAATTGCTTCCATGATTCCGCTTTCCTCGTTTCTTGTTGCGGCTGCTGCAGCTTTCTTAAGTTCCCGCTGTTTTGAGCGTTGCCTCATCCTACATCCTATGCAGACACCAGGGCCTACTACCACAGCACAGGCGACCAGACATCCAACAATTATACCGAAAGCAGAGGAAGTTCCCTCTATAACTATAGTTCTTGCAGTTGACGCCTCCTGTACATAGAACTCTGTCGCTGTTTGTATCTCCTCTGTCGGCCCAGGAATGTTGACCATTCGTGCTGGCACGTTATTGTTACCAGGTTGTACACCATCTATTTGAGATGCAACAATTACAGGAGGTTTTGTCAAGGGAACTGTAACATTGAGAATGGCTAAAATTTTTGGAATGTGACTTGGAAGAATTTTTGTGCCCACAGGTAAGATTTCTTCTAACTCATTCTGGTCATTGTTTTGATTTTGATCATTGTTTTGATTCTGATCGTTGTTGTTGGTGTCTTGAGGAGGTGAAGGTGTGACAGGGGGCGCCACAGTGAACTTATCCTGACCTTGGATATTGTACACTTGTCGAGGATCGTACGCCCGGGGATTATAGGTCTGTGGATACTGACCCTGAGGTACAAACACGTCTCGAGGATTGTGAGGGTTGTAGGCTGGTCTGGGTGGAGGACTGCCCTGCCCTCTGTTAGACTGTGGCCATGTTTGAGGCTGTTGGTTATGAACTGTTGTAGGAGTTTTAGAGTTACCTCCCCTAACGAGTAAAGGATTTAGACCTCTTAACGGATTTAGACCTCTTCCTGTTGCAGTGGGCAATCCGGTAGGTCTCTGTAATACTGTATCCATGTGTGGAACTACCCTGCCAGACATTGGATTGATTGGAGGAAACCTTCTGTCAAAAGCTCCACTTTGACCTCGGTTCTGTCCTTGACCTTGATTTGGCCTTGGTTGTCGAGGACCACCCCAAATCCTCTGTCTGTCGGTTGGGATCCAGGCTGCAGCAGATCGTGTGGGAGCAGTATCTTGACTTCCCCTCATTCCCTGACCGCCTCTCATATTGTCCCTATTGTTGGATATGTTTTGAAGTGTTGACCAGAGGGTAGAGTTGACATCAGCCATTGCAGCCTTGAAGGGATCATTCCCGGAGCCACCTTCCCCTTCCTTAATAGCCAACTTCTCCATGTACATGCCAACAATGATCTTCCGCAGCCTGCTGTCCTCCGTCTCCAACTCTGACTCTTGTTCGTGATCAATGTCAAAGCCACCCAGTTTAGCGCGGGACAGTATGGGGCCAAGCATGGACCCTTCCTGTGAGAGCTGTTGCTGGCCTTCAGGTCCCACAGGTCCATCAGGGTCTGTCTGGTTGTCTACCTTGGTTTGATTACTTTCACCTGATAAATTAAAAAAATACAGAGCTTGAAAAGACTTTATATTTGTATTAAAAGTTGTATAATCCCAATGGTATTATGATAATGCTCATCTGTTATTTGTTGCTTTTTATCACAATTCATATTTATCATGAATATTAACTTTGGTAACATTCTTTCAGTGTAATTTACATTAAAATCATCATAAATGTATCTATAATCGTGAATTATTACTACAGATTCTATCGGATGTAAATGTTGAATGAATCAACAGGTATGTAATGTTGGGACTTACCTATAAAGGCTTTCTGGCTTCCGCTATTTGCATATGGCCACCGCATTGGAATGTTAGCTGTTTGGAGTTGGTCCCCTTGTCTAGGTATGACACCACCATGTAAGTCTGTGAACTGGTTTCTTGTTTCCAGACCTTGCTGGTAAGGTGGGAAAGTATGTGTCATCGCTGGCCTCTCACGGGGGTCTTGATTCGGGGCAAACCGTCCTCCCTGTATCGGTCTTGGGTTTTGTCCTTGTGTCATGTTTCTAACGATGGTGGCCAGCGATGGACTCAGGTCTGACAACTTCAAAGGTGGCTGTCCTCTCCCTTCCTCAGGAAATCTGACTCCTGACCTTCCGAACTCTGACCCAGCCCTTGTCCTTGAGCCATCTGGTATCTGTCCCTGATTTGGCCAGGTATTTTTACCTTTTAATCTGTCTTCTTGTTCCTCTCTCTTTGCCTCCTTCTGTGAGTCTGGTCGCTCTGGAGGTAGATAGGGGAGAGGACCACTCCCTGTGCGTTGCTGTCTCTCCCAGGCTGCCAGCTGTTGCATCCTGCGATCCCACAGGTCTCTGTTGTTCTGTAGTGTTTGCGTTTGGAAAGGACTGTTGTGTAGAAGATCAGTGGGGGGTGGGGGTGGCGGCATTGTCCGCCCTCTAGTTGTCTGTTGTCCGCCACTTGACTGAGGGTTTCCCTGGAACTCCTTCATGGTTGGTGAATTCCCTGTGATGTTTGTGTTGTTGACAGTTCCATTTAACAGTTCAGTTCTGTTGGATCTTGATGGCCATTGATCACCCCAGATCTGACCTCTCCCTGATCCTGCGTTGATGGACCCCGAACCTTCCCCTGCCCAGATCCTGGCCCTCCCTGTGTTTTGGGGCGGCCTCTTGTCCATATTGGGCCAGGGTAGGGTGGTAGGTCCCCCAGGGATCTCACCTCGGTCCCCCCACCGTCTCCGCGGTACAAATGGGGGTGGAACTGGCCCCTTGCCTGGTCCACCATTCATGAGTTCCCATGCTTTGTGGGTCTGCATTCTCTGCCAGTGGTCATCGAGAGGATCAGGCAGGTCTGGGTCCACCATCAGGAGGTGTCCACTGCCGACACCACTGCCAGCTCCACTCCCTCGAGCCATAGCTCCCCTGCCTCTAACTTCTTGTCCTGGACCTGGACCATAATTAGGATAGTCCCTTTGGTTGTAGTAGCCCCCTCCTTGCCTGTTGTTGTAAGGTCCTCCCCTGTCCAAACCCCTTGGACCCTGTCTGGTTCCTTGAGCCTGTCCTCCTCCTCCTCTGCCGGGCCCTCCTTGGTCATAGGCTGGAGGATAGGTGGGAGGAGGGTAGGTCGGTGGCCGTAATCTGTATCGTTCATCTGGATATGGTCTTGTGTCTCCTCCCCCTTTGTATGGACGTCCCCGGTAGGAACCCTCGTAGTTCCTATCATACCAATATGGAGGTGCTGTTGGTGGACCTCTCCTTCCTTGATTAGTTCTTTCACCATTCCAAGCTGTCTGATTTCCTTTTGCGTTCCGTCCCCATTGTGTTTGATTACCTCCCCTTTGAGCTTGAAGTTGCTGTGTTTCCCGTAGACTTATTTCTTTGTTAGACATTTCCTTTCGGATGGCATCAACATCCAGCTTACTGCTGCCTGGCGGGTTTTGTGTACCTGTAGAATAGAGGTGGTGTATATTAGGAAATTTCATAGAGAACATCATGATGAAATAATGTATTGGAAAACCAACTCAGGACGGGATGGTTCAACGTTCAGTAGGTAGTGGTCGGTCAATAAACTGTTGGAGGAAACAGTGGTAGCTACTGTACGAAGGTACTGTCTATAAAAGCCATGCCCGCCGAGTGTTTATTTCACCCTTCACATGCAATTACAACTTGTTGCATGTTGTGTACTAACATTTGCTGTCATGATAAATTTGCCCTCATTAAGGAAGGTGAAAAAGATGAAAGTTAAACTGCAACTAAAATGTCCTTGTATCCAGTACTCAGGTAGAGCTCCACCAAAGGACAAAGTATAAACATATCATATTTTTCGTATTTTTAGACACATTTTGTAAATAAAGATTTGTTTTTGATTTTAATATTATTAATAAATGATAGTGTAGTTTTTAATATGTTAAAGGTTATAATGAATGTGTGTACATGTTTGCATTCCTAGATACTTTGCTTGTTTAATGTTTTTTACTGAATGTATTCCTTCACAATAAAAGTATAATGAACCATTCTTGTAGTTAATCGGCTCATTACATGAAGTAAGACCCCCAGGCACCAACAAAAATAAAAACAAAAGTCACAGCTACTGGTCTGATGGAATAACACCTAGGGCTGTACAGCACACTGTACTATAACACAGTATGTGGGTACTGAACTAAGCTACTGGACAAACACTTACAATACTCACATAATATTACAGTTTGTTAACTTATTTTATATTTCACTTTTCTTTATTTCTCAGTACAAAACTTTTTTGACATTTTTATAATTTATAGACTCTGGATCAGCGTCAGATGTCTTTCTTAGATTTCCTTGGTAATGAAATATTATTTAGGAATATTAAATTAAGAAGACTATTTCTTTATTAAAACTATTTGTAAAACTGTAAAAGTAACTATATTTATCTATAAAAAATACTTATTTTAAAATAAAAAAGCGGTTAACCCATTCATCCCTTAAGTCACATTTGAACCTAATACCAAATCAAAGACTGGGCAAGTCCAGTTTAAAAATGTAGGGGTGAATGAGTTAAACAAGGATGACGAATATTACTTACGAATCATCTGTGTGTATACTCTAATATTGCTTTAGTTTCTTTACAGTAAAACATTTTCACTGATTTAATTATTTTTGCCTTTGTTTCCATAAAACAAGAGAATATTAGNGGGGGGGGGGGGGGTGGGGTGGAGGGATTGGGATGGGACTATTACAGTAACATATACTCAGGAAGTGTCAGCCTTTGCTTGACAGCTACAGATTATAACTACTTACATACTCGTCATGAATTTCCAGACGAGGAGTTATGACTGATTTATCTTAAGCATTCGGCCAAAATATCAAGTATTTTGAGTTTGTCGTAATTGGCATGTTTGTCTGAGCTAATGTGCCATACATTAAGTATTGTGAAGAGTTTGTTGTGACTCATGATATTCCATGTTTCTGTAGAGTCTGGGCTGATCCTATGTTATCTGAGAATACACCCCCCTACTGTAACCATAGTGGAGAAACTGCCTCCGTGGTAGGATTTGTCTCTATGTCAATATTAATATTGTCAGATTTCTGCATTAAACATATGGTATCGGGTCGGAAAGCCTACATTACAGCTCTATAAGATATATAATTCTACCAAACCACTTAGATAACTTTGGATCCTTTCTACAACTTTCAAACATGATTGTGTATGTTGGCACATCCCCTGATTAATGTTTATTATGGTGTGACCCTAGTGTACGATCCTATTGTGTTCATAGACTGTTTTAGGTGTTATCAACAAAAATGAAAATAGATTATATCAATTATACAGTTGGTGGAAAAAATGATATGAGATAAATTTTCTTTGATGATTCTTGTGCATGTTGGCACAGTATAGTATATACAAATTAGACGGATTCATGCTGGAGTAGAGCACCACTCCCTATTTAATATGAAAGTACGTACGTTATGAAGTTAAGTTTGAACCCCAAATCCACCTTTAAATGACCTAAACTGTTAATAGGACCTAAAAAAACATACAAAATTAAACTGAATCAAAATTGAACTTAAATAAAAAGCAATAGTAAGATTTGGGCTAGTATTCTGTTGGAGGTATTTAGCTTAGTGCTGTGGAAGGTTTAACAGTACATACGTAATTAAGTGTTGATTTGAAGCCAAAAAATGATCAAGATATGTTTTATGTACTAAACTTAAGGGTTCTTGCTATTGGCAGGATTGTTAAATTAAATTATACTTTAAGGTTTTATACCTTGATTTTGGTCGGGGTTAGTAGGTTTTCTGTTCTTCAGATCATCTGGGTAGAATTTCAGGAATGACCTTGGAGATTTACCTTGGTTACGACCCTGGTATCCTTGCATGGGTAGTAACTGTTCTTGTTCCCAGGGGATATCCTGGTTCCTGTTACCACCATTCCGAGGCTCCTGGTACCGTGGATACTGTTGTGAAGACCTTCTCTGCCAAGGTGCTTGACCTTCGTAATTTTGTGGGGGTTGTTGAATAGGGGTCCTTTTAGTTGTAGAAGCTACGGAGTTTCCAAACTGTTGTTGTAGAAGAATTAGAATTGGCACAAATTTTGTTAAATCCACGGAGAAAAGTATCCATCTTTTCTTTAGTTTGATCATGTTTAAATAAAGTCAAAATATATAAACCAGGGGAGATAACTGTTGTATCTCAAGTATTTAAGTTATCGATTCCGTCCACAAGTTTCACCTGTATTACGAGTAAAGATGAAAATGGATCGGATATATCAGTCAATAATGTCACAAATATATCACATTTTGTCCAGGAATATCAACACTTATCAATCCACGAAATATTTCAAAAGTGTTCCAGAAAGAAATAGCATGTAATCCTCCGATTAATATTTGTAAATGACATCAACCTGTACTGTTATAACAATGGTTAACCTCCTCACTGATCAGTTAATCACGCATGAAACTTATACCTAATGAAGTGTGACCCTGGTCCATCATTTATCTGTAGCACTCCTTTGTCTTGTTGTCACGGCTGAGCGCACATGTGACTGGGGTTAGGGTCAGAGGTGGTCGGCGGTCCCGCTGACATTCACAGGTAAAAATTATCATCTGACATCATTTTTCACGCCATTAAAGTCAATACTATCACTGACCGAGGTCAGGGGTCAATAAATCAATGACCAGAGGTCATCACATTTCAATTTCAACTGTCAGCCTTGTCTCTTTGTCACAGATTTATTGCACATAATACGGTAAGTGATTGTTGGAAAATTTCCTGAAAACTTGCAGTCATTTCCTGTATGGAAGAGCTTGAGTATGTTAATGTCTGGCACCAAACATTTGTCAGCACATTATCATCAATATCATATCACAGCTGTCATTGGGTAACAGTTTAGTGATATTTCTACCATCAGATATGTTCAGTTGTCAATTAAATCATTACATCATCAAGATGTATAACATTACTTTTTCACAAAAGATTAAAAAGTTTCTGCCATTGTATCGAATAACCCTGTAACCATCGATACAGACCTTGTAGAGTAATACTTATAATAAATGTTAATAGTGTTCTTTTATATCTTCCATAGCTGTAGGTTAACTGTTCCCATTTGAACTTCCTTCAAATCATAATTAATTAGGCATTTTCTTTTCATATCTTTGTTAAACATCTGTATGACCTTTACATACTAAACAGTTTTGTCTTCACAAAGTATGATGATCCAGGATTCTCCTTACTGACGGAAATTTAAGCCCTCAAAATTGTCTTAGGACGATGGAAAAGTTTAGGATGGCCTTGGTTCCATTGTGAATATAAAGTCATATGCCATGCTGGGTGAAAAAAATATCTGTTCGTAGAATAAGTCCGCTATTAGATAAAACCAACACATTCCATTCCTTCTCTGAAGATTTTTTTCCCTAAGATTCACCCCATATTTGCTGTTTCTGGGGTCTTAATTAGGTGTTTGTATTTCATGACATATCTAATAATTAACTTTGTTCCACAGTTCATTGAGATAACAAGTAACATTTACATTACTTCATATCACCAGTGTTGTTTTCATCTGAGCAATTACTGACCTTACTGCGTTTAATTACTGCAGCACATCTAAGTGGTAAAAAACGGTTATCGTCATTCTTTATTGTCATTCCAATGATTGAAATGTTGGTAGTTTTTGAAGTATTCCAGTAAAACACTGATGTCTTTGTCACCGATAGTTCAGTTCCAATTACCACAGCAGGAAATATGCCAAGTTGTCGGAGATTTTTTATGTCGTTAGTTTGTATTGTCACACGTTATTATACCTCAACACTGCTGAATCTTCCTCTGTAGATATCGTAAGTTTCCATGGAAAATGTACAGACTCTGTAGTTAGATTCCTATTTTATCAAACTTTTCATAGCTGGAAGTTTCAAAGACATTCAATCCATGGAGAGACAGTTACACGATTGGAGTCATGACTCACAGTTCCGTAGCACTGACGAACAAACCCAAGTGGTATCTCTGACTGAGGAAGCAGGCTGAACGCAGCAGCCAACTGCTTCTGGGGGTTATCGCGTTAAAAGAGTTCCACTCTCAAACTCTCTTTCAAACTTTCCGAATCATGATGCTCCTGTCCCCTCCTGCCTTAAGCCCCCTCCCTGTTTTAATCGGCTGCTGTGTTTTTCTCCCTTCCCTGTTAAATCTTTCTGTTTTATTTGGATACAAGGGCGAGTCACTCTAAATAATCGGGATGGTTTGATTTTATCACTTCAAATCACACACATAATGATTAACTTCAGTCTCTACAGAATTTCATGCTTGAATCAATCTCAGCAAAAATTTTCTTTGAAACATTCGTGTGACTTTGGACCTATGAACTCAGTTGCTATGACGGCGGGGATCCTTTCAGATTACTATGGCGTATCAAGTGTACTGTTGTAGCTAACATGTCAGAGATTTGTCAAAAATTTAAAGATACATGCTCTCACAGGCAATACATAATAGGAACTATCTCACACCCTGGATGTAGAATACATCAAAAATGTGGTAAACATCTTAAGGCAAAAAAAACCCATTACGAATACAAGTCTTTTTGGAGACATGTTGCTTATCTTTTGTAATTTATTTTTCTCCTTGAGAATTTTATTTACTGAGATTTTAAAATAAATATGTAATGGTAGAAAAAAGTGGAATGTTGGATGAAATTTGAATACATGCTCTGTGGAGTAGGTGCTATCTTTATTTACTGTATAACTTCATTCTCACCTAGATAACGTCCCTGTTCTTCACTATACACGTGTAGGAAAAACATTGTACAAAGATAGTTTATCAGTTCAGAAAAGTATCTGCCTAAGTTACACGATATAAAACCAAAGTAATGTGTAAATTTAAGTATAAAACAATAGTTCATCTGTGGTAACAAATACAGGGATATATGAAATATATTTGTAAAAATTGTAACATTAATAATTTTTTGGAAAATTATATTGTAAGGTATTTCTTATTTTAATAAAGGGGAAAGTTTATCTTTTTGATTGTAAACAGCTAATTTTAGTTTCACTTTCATTCATAATATCTTAGGAAATATGATGTGGACTGATTGAAAGATGTTGCAGGTTTTTTTTAACTTTGATCAAGTTTTCTGTTTATCATTTTACCATGAGGAATATTATCTGGGAGCTTGGTGCCACTGGTGAGACTGTGGAGGGTTTGGGTATTGACCCTCCCTGGGAAACCCAACTGTGGGAACTTGAAATCACTGGGGTGAAAATCCTGGCATAAAAATTATCTTTAGATTAAGAGTCTCCCTGGAACTAAGATTCCGCAAATACATGGATATAGATTTAATTGAAACCACATCTTGCTTAAAGTTAGCTTGTGTGTAGAATCAGACATGGAAATGTAAAGTATGGAGGTCGTCTATTGCTAGGGACATTCCGGTACATGATTATAATAACCAGAAAAGAATTTGCATTCAATTTGGAAAATTACCTGAAATAGTAAAACGAAAAAAAAGGTTTAGAACAATGACCCTAGGAGTTTAGAGTACAAAGCTTTCAAGTTTCAAGTTTCTTCCTCGGCCAATTTTCACTGACAATCACCCGGTTTAAAAAACACAGAGACATTGAAACAGTGACTTCTTTCTCCTCCATGTAAGTTTGTGATATACAAACACTGAATGGCACAAACAGGTGCGCTCGTTGCTCTGTACTCTGCCACGGAGTACAAATCTATTAGCTAATTTTTACAGGGGAGCTGGCACTCCAGGCTTTTTATTAGACAAAATTTTGACAATTTGTTTTATCAGCTGAAGAACAGTGACCTGGATAAGATGGGGATCGGCAAATAGAAATCTAAAAGAGACCACAGACCCTGCTGGAGTTTACTGTTACATCCATTCCCACCCCAATTATACATCAGTCACCATTATCTCGTAAATAAATTTCAGAAGTGTTAAAATACTTTTAAAAGTTTGAAATAACTTTAAGTCTGCTTCAAGAAATAAAAATAAATCAATTCTGACGCTCTGAGGGTATACAGACAACACTTGTGCCATATCTATTAGAACAAATTGTCCATTGTTATCACAAATTATTTAACGAAACTGTTCCGTATAAAATGCGACACAGCTTTGCTGTGCACTGTGGAATGGTAGACACAACATCGAAGTATTTAAGCCTGATAATGTGTCTTTCTGTCAGAAACATTCAGGATAACATTTAGAAATCTCTTGTCATCTTCGTCTGGCTGAGAGGGTGATGGTTTAAAATACCCATTAGAACCGACTTTAGATGTTTCCCCACTTCTGATGTATCTCTGTAAAATATCACTGGGATCTTGGAGTAGAGCAAAAACACTAGTCAATGAGTGGCACATTTTGTCAGATTTCTTCCTGATATATTTATGTAGTTTGAACTTTTGAAGTGCTTGTACTTTTGACTAAATTTGATGGAATATAATGTATAAGTTGGGAATTTAAAGGAGTTTGAATACCCAGTTCTGTAAGTGTAGAACAAAGTTTGAATAGCCAGCTTTGTAAGTGTAATTAGTTGTTACACTTTTGAGTATATAGCTTATGAAGAAGTACAATATATAAATCCGAATTAAGTCGCCCTTATGTATGTTTGATTGATATGTAACTCTTTGGTCCATAAGGGGATCCATGGCTAGCTTGACTTCACCTGTTTATCTTGATCAAAACTTCCTGCTTTTGAAGTTTGTGAATGTGCTTTTGAAATGATAAGATGTGAATGTTTTCCAATCCACATTGATAATATAACCATTACTCCTATGCAGATTCAGCATTCTGTGTATTGAAGAATGGAATTGAGAATAAAATATTTTTGCATGGTAGTGTTATTGAACCTGTCTTTATGAGCTGATATTTAAGTTATTTCTATAATGCTTTCCAAGCTGTAAAAACATTAAATGTGTTAATTATATAGTGTGTTCCATTGAACATTTATATTGACCATGAATGCAAACTGAAAGTAGTTCAATACTTAAAGGAATGAAATAAAATTTCATTAAAATTTCATTAAAATTTGTGATGAATTCAAATAAATTGAATGTTTGGAATTTAGAATAATTACTAATAAGCTGGTAAAGACGGGGGTGTTATCGGGACAATAGTCGAGCCATAGCAATCATAAAGTGGCTGATTTGAACATTTGGTTTAACCATGCCAAGGGCACCCAGTATATCTGTCATCTGAATTGGTAAGGCCTATTTATACAGTGACATTATCCTGCAATGGTATATATTAATTAAGAAAAAACTATTGACTTTAAATCTTGGCACAGTTTATACAATTATTGATAAAACTACATTATATTAGAAATATTGTAATAAATCTCACTAAAGTGAACGTAATATTTTCTTAGTCAATTGAAGATCAAGTCAGAACCAGTATTATTCAGAGCAATATCTTGGCACCCAGTCACATATCTCTGTACATCCAGACATCTGGAATACCCAAGGTTCTTCCTTGTTCATGGAGTTATGTTACAACAGATGAAAAATGATTTGTGTTTTGGGATTTGAAACATGGAAACAGTCCAAATGTAAATTTTTACATAAAAATGATGTGCATTGGAACTGTTCTTCCTATCTTACACTGAGATGTTTTCGGGGTAAAAGTCTTTTTTTTTGTTTTTGACTTTATCAATATTTCTGTGTATATGTCTATAAAAATATTTCTGTGTATCGTAATTATATTTTGACACCTTTGAATTATCGGATGAGAGGGAGATAAAAAGTGCTGTACCTCACCTTGTGTAACATGTGTTAGAGATAGCGTACTGCTGGATTCAGGGACAGAGGATGTTATCAGAAAGACGGGGGTGTTATCAGGACAAACACAGCAGTGGATAGACTGATAGTAGAAGGACTCTGCCTAATTTCACGCTTACCATGTATTGAACATCCACTGTAGGGAATAGGAAACACACTTGCTCTCGTTGAATAGGGATACATGTTCTCAAGGTAACACCCTGGCGGACACATCTCATAGCATTTTCAACAGAACCCACCAATGCTTCTTAACATGGAATGCAAGCATTTAACATTGAAATTTCGAAAACAAAGATATATCTTTATGAAATTTTTGGAGGGAAATCAAGGTTCCTTACCTCTTACTAAGCTACCTTGTCTGCCATATATACACTCTCTTCCATTACTAACTTTGCTTCCCCTATGTGAGCCAACCCATTTTACATATGGGTATCATATCAAGGACCAAGTCCTTATACAATATATGACTGTTAATAAACCAATGCCAATATATTATCCCACACATTTTACAGAGTGGATTGTAATGTGTAAACAGGTCTATATATCATGTATGAAAAGTGATAGCCCATGCCCATTAATAAGCCCATCCTTTTATAGATGTGTGTAATATCTGTAAACAAAAACATGTACTATATATAACTGATGATAACCCATGCCTGGTAATACGCCCACCCCTTTATAGATGTGTATACTATCTGTAAACAATACCATGTACTATATATAACGGGTGATAACCCACGCCTTGTAATAAGCCCTCCCCTTTACTGATGAAGTCAGGAATTAACATAGTACTTACTAGACTCCATTTCTAATGACTTTGAAGGGTGAGGCACTTATCACACATATCATAACATGATAACATAGCACTCTGTTTAATCAAAGTATGTTTCCTCTTGATTGGTGCATTTATGTTAAATGTGCTGTATATCTATGTTACTGCATGGTTACCATTGATTGTAAAGGTTATGCTTTCTTAATGGTATGGTGTTGTCTGGTCTATGGTTTTAGATAAAATTGAAATATAACACAGCATTCGCATCCATCCCTGCCAGTCCACTCAATGGTTGTATGATGCCCAATTCAGAGTGTTTGAATTTTTGGTTTAGAGGAAGTTGACTCCATGGTAATACAGTTGCTCTAGGCAATGAGGATGAACCTGTCTATCAGTGTCTGTCAGTAGTTTCTTCATCTGTGCTTCTACATTTTTTTAGTCAAACAAAACAGTTCCTGTTTCAATGAAGATCTGTACCCTGCAGTGATGAGGGTAAAAAACAGATGCAGCTCTGGCTACAGATTCTGGAGTAACATGACACCTACTTCTGATATGCTAATGAGGGC